GCTAGACAAAGTTTAATACTTTTTTTCTTTTGAAATAAAAGGAGTCGTGAAATATTTTACTTGTGCATAGTAATTCTCCCTAGGAGTGCCTGTTTAAGTGTAATGGGTTTCCAATCTTATTTGACTACTACAGAATCTTTTTCATAAGGAGTAGGGAGATGAGGTTACATCTCATGTGGCCAATATTCCCTGAAACAAAATTTGAGAAACATGTCCCTAACTCATAGTCTTATTGGCTATAAGAAATTTTAATATCAAGGTGTTTGGAACATCTAAAAAGCAGAAATAAGGAGAAAGGGTGGGAGATATTGATTTACAGACAAATATTTACAGTAATTTAATGAGTACGTATGGAAACTTGACTGGGAAAACTTACTATTATTGGATGTGGTTTGAGTTTGTCCCCTAAAGGATCATGTGTTGAAGGGTGATCTTACCTATGGTGATGATAAGAGGTACTGTGACCTTTAAGTGGTAGAGATCAGTGAGAAGTCATTTGGGGATGTTTCCAGAAGTGGTTAAGATAGCTCTCCTGGGACTCTCCCTCTTTTTGTGAAGGTGGCTATAGAACAACATTGTGTTGCCATCTATCATGAGACCTTTGCTATAACTGATTTATATCTGGGATTCTTCAGAACTCTGAGCTAAGAGTTTTTCTTCATAAAGTACTCAGTCTCGGGTATTTTATTATAGTAATACAAAATGGATTAAAACAAAGACATTTGGGTTGTTCATTTAAGTCCACCTTATCTCTAAGATCTGTTATAGTCCAAAGATTGGGTGGGATCTTTTAGAAGATATAAGCATTGGGCAGTGTTATGTCTTGAATTTGAAGTATTCCCTACAAGGCCGTGTGCTGAAGACTTTGTCCTCATATGGTGGCTAGTGAAGAGGTGGTTCTCTGGGGATGTGCCATTGAGTATTGTATCTTATATCTAGCTGTTCTGTGACACCATTATTGGGGTAATGTGAACAGACATCTACTCACCCCAGATTGGAAACCAATGGCTGACCAGAGTATGGATACCACCAAAGTCCAACTTGGTGAGCTGATGAGTTATTCGGAGAATATGGAAGAGGATTTAAATACACGAGGAGAAATTGCTCAAAAACAGCTGTATCACCAAAGTCTGCCCCAACATGAGTGACAGTTTATGAAATCTGAAAGCCTGGCATACACTACACAGTCTACCTGTTGGGGGATATTCAATCAAACTGTGAACTCTGGCTTGCTTGCATCTATGTTAATTAAATAAAATTGACCTTGGGTCAGGAGGCTGAGTTAGCAACAAGTTGACAGGAAGTAATCATAGAGCATCAGAGGGCATCTGGGAAAAAGAGAAAGAGAGAGAGAGAGAGAGACAGACAGACAGACAGACAGACAGACAGACAGACAGACACAGAGACAGAGAGAGGACAGAAGATTTAGGGAGGGGTTTGTTTTTTTGACAGAGTGGAAGGATACAAATTTTGAAGACACCAGTAAAGAGAGAAGGTTAGCTAGTATTACTCAGCCTCTCTAAGCTAGCAGGTTTTCATTCCAGTCTTTGAGTCTTGAGTCTTATTTATAAAAAGAATGATAGAGATTTAGTTACAGAAATATTGGAAGCTGGTCCTCAGTTACAATAAAAAAACATGGCGGAGGGAGTCATAGAACAAAAACTAGTGCTAGAGGTAATGAAATTTCTCAAGATCAGCTTCTGGGTGAGGGTCAGTATGCTGGTTTGTAAAGACAGTCTATATCAAATGATCACATCTTGGTTCTATGACATATAGCATAGAATGCTTGGAACAGGGTTGAAGAATCAGGAAAGAGGAATTAGTCATTTACTAAAATTGTATAAGGCCCAAAAGACGCTTTTACTGTTTTTTCTTAAAAACAAAGATTGATTTCAATTGTAAATAGAATATAGACCCAGAAGTTAGAATCCTTGAGTTTTAAAAATGATAATTCAGAATACGAAAGGGTGATTAGGCCTTTAGAGGCAAGATCATCATCACCCATACATGAATGAATTCAAAATATAGCTGATATTGGATTTCACACTTACCATGATACTTGAATAGGAGAAGTGATTTCTACAAATTTCTCCACTGCTCTGAATGAGAGAACAGCTTCAGGAGGCAAAGCAAAATTTTTAAGAGAGACCATAAAACAAGTATTTTGGTAGGCTTCTACAAATGATCAAAGACCAAAGTTAAAACTACAAATAAATGGCATTGATATTGAGGATTTGGTAGACATAGGTACAGATGTAATAATAATTTCCTCCAAATCTTGGCACCCATTGACCTCTTCAGGAGGTAAATGTTCAGCTTCTAGGAATTGAAACTTTATCTCAGGTAAAAAAAAAAAAAGTACAAGATGGATTGAGTATATAGGGCCAGAGGATAGATAAAAAAATTAAAACCATGCGTGTCTAACATAGCAATGAATTTATGGGGATGGGATTTGTTGCAGAAATGGAAAATCCATATTAACATTCCTACAATCTCAGAAACAAACCATAAAATGATGCATACTTAAAGAAAAATATTAAAAAGTATTATAAGCAATGGTTACCAACTGTTCAGATTATACATAAGCAGGGCATAACAGCTGCTGATCTTTTGAAGGTACCAACAGCCTACATTTAAAATGGCTAGCTGACAAACCTATGTGGGTGGAACAATGGCCTTTGACATTAGAAAAATTATAGGTATTAGATGCTCATCATATTGAAGAATCTACCGGTCCTTGGAATTATCCTATATTTGTTATTAAAAAGAAATCTGGAAAATGGAGAATGTTAACAGGTTTAAGAGCCATAAATAAGATGATTCAGGAGTGGGCCCTTTACAGCCTGGAATTCCATAGCCTTTTTATTACCTAAACAATGGTCTATTATACTGACTGATTTAAAAGTGCTTTTTGTGCTATACCTTTACAAGAACAGAATAGTGAAAAATTTGCCTTCACAGTATCTACTTATTCTCAGCCTGTTAAAAGGCACCATTGGTAAATGTAATCAGAATTAGAAATCATCCTTTGTCTATAACACAAATCAGATCCCACACGGGTCTACCAGTACCTCTAGCACAATGTAATGATGAAATTGATCATCTATTGGTAGGAAATATGCTATAAGCCTCAGAATTTCATAAGAAATACCATGTTAACAGCAAAGGTAAGACTTTTTATTGCTTGATATCAAGCCAAATAAATTATAAGGAGATGGTCCACTGTTCTCTGTTATAAACAAACTCTATTACATATAGGAAGTAACACTAAAGGTAATCAAAAAAAATAAAATTTGGCAAATGGATGTGTTTCACTTTACAGAGTTTGGGAATTTAAAGCATGTATACCATACCATAAATATATGTTCAAGATTTCAGTGGGCATCCAATTGCTTTAAGTTCTGAATAGGCTGATTCTGTAATTAGACATTTATTAGAAGTCAGGGTCATTAGAGAGGTAATTGTACAAATTAAGACTAGCAATGTTCCAGCATATTCCTCTAGTAAAATGAAACAAGTTTTATTTTGCATTTCACAACATAAAGCATATTATAAAATCCTACAGAACAAGCAGATATAGTAAGATCTAATCACATTTTAAAAGATATGCTTAATAAACAGAAAGGGGTAATAAAGACCCCACAGAGATAGATTACTTTGTCCTTTATTGACTTTAAATTTTTTAAATGCTAATAATAAAGAAACATTGACTATGGAGAGACATTGTATAACATAAAAAATGCTAAAGTTAGTCAACCTGTATATTTTAAAGATGTTTTGATCTCAGAATGGAAACTGGAATATGTGTTATGTTGGGGAAGAGGTTTTGCTTTTGTTTCCACAGGAGAAGAAAAGTTATGTCTACCATCAAGATTAATAGATTTGAGCAGGAGAAACCTCTTGATTAGAAGAAACAATAGTTCATCATACAGCTTGGTCATTCAATCCAAACTGACTTATAAGACTAAAAGATGCCTTTCTTTTTCTTTTGTTTTTGTTTTCGTTTTGGAGCCTGCCGTGGACCTAGTTCTTGTAGACCAGGAAGGCCTCAAACTCACAGAGATCCACTTGCCTCTGCCTCCTGAGTACTAGGATTAAAGGTGTGCACCAAACAAATGCCTTTCATTTGATCATGTATGAAAAAAATTGTATTATTAAAAAGATAATACTTTGTCAAGGCAGTTCTGGCATAAGCCTTTAATCCCAACACTTGGAAGGCAGAGGCAGGCATATCTCTGTGAATTCAAGGCCAGCCTGAGCTACAGAGCAAGTTCCAGGACAATCAGGGCTCTTACACAGAGAAACCTTGTCTTGAAAAACAAAAAACAAAAACAGATAATTCTTTTTCTGTTGTCAAAAAACAGTTTGTCTCAAAAAAGATAAACCTGAAAAAGAAAGGAACTCTCAAAAATTAGGTTTGGGGCAAGGTTTGATTTTTGTCTTTCTAGGAGAATAAAAGCATCTAATTAAGGAATCTGAAGGTGACTGGACAAATGAGACATCTGAAGAAGACGGACAAATCATCTAGAAAAAAATGTCCCATGAAAAAGAGTAAAATTGGCCTAATGGTATAACATGCTTGCAACAGGATCAAATTTAATAAATTTTCTCCTGTTCTCTACAAACATAAAAGGCAAATGATCTTTCTGTGGTCCCAATTCCATTTAAAATCAAAGCTGGCTTTGAAGTTGGATTGTACCTCTTTCCTTCTCTAAACTCAAGCATACTTGTTAAAGGAAAATCCAAAATCTCTGTCTCATTTCAGAAGAGCTACCTGATATGCGACAGAAGAAAGCCAAAATTAAGGGACTAATCTATTATTACTAATCTCATAATCCTTTGGTTTTATTTTGACTCTTTACAACTTTTCTTAAGACTTTTCTTAAGATATGACTATTATCTCTAAATTATATATACACATTATATATACATGTATATATAATTTAGAGATAATATTCATGTCTTAAGAAATATATATATATATATATATATATCTGTCCTGATACTAATGATCATGTAGAGTACTAGTTAATTCTAGAAATATAGGCTTCATCTAGCTTCCTCTATATTATTTTGGGCTCGAGTCTGAAGCAGTTAAGTAAAAATTAATTTTGTGTACCTCAGATATACTTATTAGATTGTGGCCCATTAACTTCTCTGAGATCTCCTGCATATGGCATTTAAAATGTTTAAGTGTTCTTAAATGACCCATGACCATTCTTAACAGTGATCTTTGAAATCTCCAAAAGGATGATGGGACCCCACAGTGACAATTCCTCCTGGGTTGTGGTAACACTATTAAGCTGACAAACACCACCCAAAGATCAGCTTTGAACTACAAACTGCTCAGGATAATTTTAAGTGGATTAGCTGGGAGGGTCCAGATTCATCGACTACTCCAAGCAGGACTTCAGATAAGTCCTGCATTTTCCCATTAAGCACAGACTGAACAACCAGTGTTATAACTAGTTTCCCCAGTTCTTGACCATTATCTCAGTTTTCTCAGGGTCCCTTAAAGATGCCATCATTCCAAGACAACCCACATCTAAGAAAATGTTTTGAGGTCTAAAATGATAGTTTTGGGTTGGTAATACAAGTTAGGACAGAAAGTGAATTAGGTATCAAACTTTGGACTCACCAAGACAGGATAGATAATAATGTAGTTTCTCCGAATTGCTAATGTACTGGACATTGTGAATGTAATCCTTACTTGATAATTTCTTCTTCTTATATACAGTTTTACTGTGTTAGAGTTAAAACCTTTTCTTTTTATTTAAACAAATATAAGGAAACATTGGGGAATATCCAATCAATTGGTGAACTCCAAGTTTGCACTTTGCATTAATTAAATAAAATTAACCTTGGGCCAGGAAGTTGAGTAAGCAACTAGTTGACAGAGAGTAATCATAGAGCATCAGAGGGCATTCGGGAGAGACAGAGCAGCATGGCTTTTTGTTCATTTGTTTGTTTGGCAAAGTAGAAGGACATGCTCTTTTGGAGACACGAGCATGGAGAGAAGGTTAGCTTGGTGCTACTCAACCTCCCTGAGCCAGCAGGTTTTCACTCCAGCCTTTGACTCTCGAGTCTTATTTATAAATAAAACAATAGAGATTTAGTTAAATTTAACAGCAGCAGAGTCAATGCCTGTGGGAACAGAATTCCTGCCAGGCTATGGCCTGAGGGGCTGGGCTGCTTCCTGAGAAGCAGGCCTGTAACTGCAGAGTTGCAACTGTTGGCTGAAATAGTCATAGATTAAGGTGCAGTCACTGTGCCAAAGTTAAAACAACACCCGTCAGCAGTTCTACAGGCTGAAGAGTGTTGTTTGCAGGTAGTTCATCTGTTCTAAACCTCTTCCTGGCAACTGACTGTTCTCTGCTTCCAAGCTGCAAAGTTGGTCCTCTAGGAAGCTCAGTTTAAGAGTCTTCTTTGCAGCTTGGTTTATTTAAAAGTATCTCTCAGCAGTCTCTACAGGTTACATATGCTCCAGGAGGGTGGGGCCTAGTGACTCTGGTCAGTTTCAGGGACTTCCTGAGGCTATTTTGAATTGTTTTATCTCCCCTTAGAACATCCTGTTACTTTACCACATTATAAACACCTTCCATATTAATGAGATTGCTTCTAAATTCAGTGATTTTAATCACAGAGGAAACTCCGACACAACACTTGTCCCATCCTCCCTCATTTCTTCCCAGGATGCTAAGTTGACTAACCCTCTGTCATCTTCCATTGCCTTGATGTACCACTTCACGTCAGGCCCAGATCTCAGGGGGTAGGTAGGGGACATGGAACTGAAGACTCTGAAGCCCTGAGCCAAAATAAGTCCATCTTCCCTTGAGTTATTTCTCATGGGTATTTGCCACAACAATGGAATGTCTAGCCTAGGCAGGACTAGCCTAGTATTACTTCCTGAGTGATGGAATCTCCTGCTTCTAATCCCGCTTACCAACAGGCCCTCCTGATACTGCTGTTACATCCTTCTTAGCATAGCACATAAAGCTTAAGTTCCCCATCAGGCTCAGCCTTCCACTTTCTAGTCCTGTGATTATGAAATGGCAGTTCAGATAATGTAAATCCAAATCCAAGGTTCAGCAGTTTAAAGAAAGCTGAGCTTGTGGGGGAGGACATTTAAACTCTCCACACTTTTGATGGAGGAGTTACTTTCATTTAATAAAGAAACTGCCTTGGCCCATTTGATAGGTCAACTCTTAGGTGGGTGGAGTAAATAGAACAGAATACTGGGAGAAAGAAGCCAAGTCAGGGAGTCTCCATGATTCTCCCACTCTAGACAGACACAGGTTAAGATATTTCCTGGTAAGCCAGCTTGTGGTGCTACACAGAATATTAGAAATGGGTTAGATCGATATATAAGAGTTAGCCAATAACAAGCTGGAACTAATGGGCCAAGCAGTGTTTAAATGAATACAGTTTCCATGTAATTATTTCAGGTAAAGCTAGCTGGGTGGTGGGACACAGTCCGCCGCTCCTATCAACACACTTTAGTTTCTTCCCTCTATAAAATGGGAGTGGTGACACTCCTCATCTATCAAGTCATAGGATTAAACACAGACTATCTGATCTCCAGTGAAAGCTGAGCAAACTCTAGCCAGCATTATCATTGTTTCTGACATCTTGCCTGAGTCCCCTATGTGTACCCTGAGCTCCAGCTGGCAGGAAACAACCAACTCGAGGTTATGTGTCTCTGGTTTGTTTAAGTTAGAAAGCTCTGTCTACCCCTGCCTGCACAAACAGCTAACAAGCTATCTCTCAACACCACTCATTCCAAGAGAACGTGCTGAATTCTGCCAACTTTCCCTCCTTTTAGTCCCCAATAATTCCATGCAACTTTCCTAGACTTCTGACATTCAGTTTTGCATAATTCATTTTACTTTGGAGAGATATCTTATTTCTCCTTGATTTTCTGTTAATGCTATTGACTGGATTTCTTCTGAGATTTGATGGAACTATTTGGATGCAGAGACCCTCACTGAGGTGAAGGCATCCTCCTACTAAGATTATCCCTTGGGTTCACTTTTATACATGCTTTTCTGAACTTGATATAATTTGGCAAGTTGATATCAATAAGCCTAAAACTAGACTAAACATGGAGGTAGGAGAAAAAGTCAGGAAGAAAGAAGAAATCAAGAATTCATTGCATCTATGTGACTTAGCTTAGTTTCTTTTCATTTTCTATATGTAAATATATTATCACATTCCTTCTATTCTTTTCTTATACAACACATAGAAGGTTTTTGTTTGCTTTTTCTATGATTATACAAAGCAGAAGAAACTCAGAGAGGGTCCTTGCCCAAGTTACAGTGGCCCTGGAATCTCTGAGGGTATCAATAGATTCTGAATTATTTCTGATATTCACTCAGTAAATATCTAAACTCTAGCTCTGCTGAGAACTGTGTTGGCATTTGAGGGATGCGGGTAGGCAAGATGAATCTTTTCTTTTGCCCTCATGAAACCTGCAATCTGATGAGGACACAATCAAACAGGTAAGTTATATAGCTGGCAAACCCTGCAGTCACAGGTACAAAGGTCAGAGACCAATTGTTGACCCTACATAAGGCAGAGTTGCTGTGTAGTACCAGAAGTCACCATCCTGCTCAGAGGCAGGGAGTTCATTTACATACATAAGAAATAAAAATAGGCCTTGGTCAGGACAAAATAATACTGGTTTTAAATGATGTCTGGTGTATAAGTTGTTTCTGGTTCTAGATGGAAAATGTTGCTTTATATTTGTTTCTGACTTTGAATGCCTTGGAACACTGCACAACTACAGTCCTCTCTCCAGACCCCTTACAGCTCTCTGCATATCCCATGATCCATAGTCAGCAATTCTGTCACCATTTGAATGCCTGTGTCTTCACTCTTTGCCTCTCCTGGAGTCTCCAGCCCTAGCCCATGCAATCTGGAACACAACAGGGACTCAGTAAGTGATGACTAGAAGAAGAAGAATGTCTCACACAAGGCTTCCATAGAGACTAGGAAGTGTATTTCAGCTCCTCCTGTGTCTGAAGTCCAAATCCTGCTAGGTATGCTCCACCCTAGATGTTGAGTTGAACTTTAGCCTGCTAAACTGAAGGGAGAGACTAGCGTGGGAAGAGGAGCTCATGTTGTCTTACACCATGGACCGTCCAACCCTCTTGTTCTTACACACTCCATGACAGGTCAGGAGCCAAGGTGGAACTGGCTGCCGCTGGACACAGTCGCTGATAGGTGGACCAGTAGGCCATCTCTAAGGTGTGATGGATCTATGCTTTGACCCCATCAAAACTGTGGGTCTCAGGACCCTTGTGGAGGTTCTGAGGGAGATCTAGAACACTGTGAGAAAGAGCCTGAGGAAGCCAGGTAGAGATTGAAGGTTGGAGAATGGAATAACTTCTGAAGGCTGATTTGTCTTTCTCAAGTGGGAGAACTGTGGAGAGACAGTTCTCATATCTCTAAGGATGCCGAAACTGAGATAAATGTGGAGACAGACCAGGGAGTAGGAAGTGGCCACCTTCTGAAGGAGGAGAGGGAGAGAGGAAAGAAAGACTGCAGAGACAAGTACTGAGGACATTTCTGTACGTTCAAGTGTGCAAAAGTGGGCAGACCATTACCTTTTCTACCTTGACTCACTTCCTCTGACCCTGGGTGAGCCTTAGAAGGAGGTAGAGCTCCAGGGAACAGCAAACAACACTTAGGCCAGAGTGACACAGTGTGGCTCATACCATCAGTGTTGGCGATCTCATGGAACTCTTCAGATGTTATTTCCAAGAAGTAATCAGAAGTGACCTCAATTATTTTTATTCTGATTTTCTTGTTTTTCAGAGAAAGCATCCGAATACTGTTGTTATCTAGTCCCAGGTTGACATAGTCTGTACCAAAACACATGTTAAACTTAGTCACCAATCTAAAGTATTGGGAGATGGAACTTACTGAGAGGTGATTAGGCCCCCAGGTCAGCATAAAAACATCGAATGGGTTTGTTATTGAAAAAATGTTTTTTTTTGGTCAAAGAATGAACCTGGCCATCATTTCCTCTTCTCTTCTCTTCTCTTCTCTTCTCTTCTCTTCTCTTCTCTTCTCTTCTCTTCTCTTCTCT